AGTGTCTACAACATACTCAAACTGAAAAGTTTCCTCCTATCATTGCATTAGACAAACATGTGTTTTCAATACCTTGCCAGAAATGCAGACAAATATAAGATAACTTGCTATTGCTCTTGAAATAGCGTGACATCACCTGCGCGTGTATGTTATGTGCCAAATGTTTTCACAGGTTTTTACTTGATGAGAAATATGCTCAATATTTATGTTTTGATTGCTAGTGTTAAGCATATGGTTGTTAAGTTATTATTATTATTAGCTTCATAAGGTATATTTTTCGAGCAGGAGTAATACCACATGGAACCAAAAGGTGCCACTGGTACTGAGCATCTGGGACCGATCACGTATTGTGCATTCGTTACATTACGGACTGCTCGGACAAGGGCTGGAGATTTGACACAGGAACACCAGCTGCCGGCACGGTCAAAATACGAACCGATGGTAACTCTTTCCGAGAAATTATTTGTTTACGGGGTGCTGAGGGAGAACGTTCAAACACTTCATCCTAGGTTATCTAGCATAGAAAAATAGCAAGCCGTTACTAGCGAATGTTGCGTTACGGTTGCCTCCAATATGAGCCGTCATTTAAAGTTAACGTCACACCCAACCAGTTCAGATACTGTGAAGGGTAGCGGAGTTTTCCTAATTCAAACACCACCGGTTTCCTGTGGTACATCTCTGGGGATTTCATTCACTAACCGCAACATGTCGCAAGGCGTAATGAAACAACTGTATATACTGAGCGTACTGTGCTCCAATATCTTAGAATCAAATTCGCCATCAATAATAGGCAGGCAGTTGGATGACCTCAACCAAAGGGATATTATTAGTGACCTAAGCGGAGTTGTACTGAAAGCTGTACACGTAGTGCGTATTATGCGACACCCCAACTCTAAGCATTTCGGAGAGTCAAGACTTCTGCGCGTTGTGCTGAACTCCATCACTGAAGTAGCATCAGTACTGCTGTCGACAGATAGTCTCAGAAATGAACACTGCTCCATCCATATATTTTCAGACATCCCATGGGGCGAGCGTTATCGAGTTGACCGCAACTTAGAGGACTACCGGAAGGAAACTTTAACCAGAACCATAGTTCTTCACGGGTTCCTGAATTTGAAGCATTTGATGAGCTTGAAATAACAACCAATGATAAAAATCAGTGGTGTTATATTCATGAAACACTCTGCTTGGACGATGTGTTAGCGAAATCCGTGTCACGGCTGCGTGCCTCAGTGAAGTAGAAAGAAGTGGCATGACAATGTTGAAGGTGGTCCTTCAGTCAAAAAGTACGATAGCAGGGCTGCTGAAATGCTGGTACATTTTTCGTTGTAGGCTACCATCTGAGTTTCGGCTGAAGACCGTAGGCAACATGCCTCCTAGTGATGAAGTGTCACACAAAGTATCCAACGCGATGGTTTCTATGAAAGAACAAAAGAACCAGTAGTGTGTCGAATCAGCCCATACAATCTAAGATGATGCTATTGATCGGATACCTTAAACTGTACGTAGAAGCTTAGACACAGGACCAACTACACGGACGATGAATAAGACGTTAAACCGTTCACTAAGTACACATCGAGAAAACGATTAGTCGCCGGCCAGTCACTGGTCGGCGAATCTTCACGTATGCGTTGCACAACCACCAAAACATTGCTTACGTCTGAGAAACTTTCATGTATGTGCACTAGCCCCCAAGGGCTACTCAGCAAACTTACTGAAATTCGGCTATGTCAGGTTGCGAATGCTTGGGACCTAATTTCAATTACCGAAACCTGGTTACACCAATAGCTGACTGATACTGAGGTTGAGATAGCCGGAATTTCACTCATTTGGAACGACCCCCCTAACAGAGGAGGTAGGGTTCAACTCTACTACCGCAGCGACCTGCAATGTGCAATAGTTGCTGATCTGAAGACACACATTGCCGACTCAATCTGGTACCGTCTCCTACTAAGACACAACGACGCATGTCTCTTAGCTGTCGTTTACCGCCCTCAAAAGTCTACTCTGGAAATGGATTCTCGCTTGTTGCGTGGCCTGAACAAAGTAACAGGCACTAGATACAGCCACATTCTCATCTCCGGGAACTTCAATCTACACGATCTGGAGGTATCGGCATCAGCCAGTGAACAGTTCAAAACAGAGTTGCATGAACTGATCGCTAACCTTTACTTGTATAATCATGTCACCACGCCCACTAGATTCAGGACAGCAAACAAACAGTCCGTACTGGACTTTGTGCTTACGAATGAAGAGCTCATGGTTGACAAGTTATTGATGGATAGTCCAGTAGGGCTCAGTGACCATATAGTGATAACGTTCAACTATGTGTGTTATGCAGAATATCCATCTGAACACTAGGAACTAACTCATGTAATCACACGCTACCACGTATTGAAACAACTCGTTGACGCATCTGCTTGGGAATTCTCAAATATATATATATATATATATATATGTCTCTGCAATGGTCTACGAATAGACATAAAGCCATCAGAAATCATGGGATTCAAAAGGAGGTAAGGAATAGTAAAAGAAAACACAACGCAACACCACAATGTCCATGGTTTTGCCAGAGGGCGAGATACTACCCAGTTGCCCAAGGCGAAGTCTGGTGTTGACTCACGGGACACCACGCCTGACCTTTGGATGAATAGACTGCCCACAAGACAGCGGATCGAATTCAGGGAATCGCGTCCATTGGAAGTCGGTGACTGGTTGCTCAGTTCATAAGCCTTTCTTTTGTTCCTTTGTCAAACAGGGATCCAAGGCTCCCCAGAATTACAGCATAAAGTAGCTGGAATACAACGCTTCGTTAAGATGAAGCAAGGGGCAGCGACTTGATTTAGTGGCGAGTCACCGTCACCTCATGGTGTTGTTAACCGGATATAGGTGGCGTGTTATAGGGAGAACGCTTGCCAGGCAAAATCTCACCACGACGTGGAACACTGCCGCCGAACCATTTGCTGGAACGGCAGAATCCGGAATCACCCAGCTGGCACCATGAGGAGGTCGTACGGGAAGCCAGCAACAATCCCCTTGAGAACGTTTGGACAGAATTCGTGAATAGACTCAGCGACATCGTCAACAGAGCATTAAAGAACAAGCCTCTTCGTTCCGCAAAATTCCTTTGATTCTAAGGAGCAAGCCTCGCAATTGTATGGCGATAAGGATGCAGCATGGTGTGCCTACAAGCTTAACCCCGACTCAGAGACTTGGGGCAAGATCCTGACACATCTCAACCATACACTGCAATTGTCCCTGAGCGCAAAGTAACTTATCAACAGTGCCTAGCCAAAAAGTTCAGGCTGTGGCCAACAAGCGAGCTGAACTACTGCCACATTCTTTTCTAAAGGTGCTTTGATGAATAACAAGTCCCCGCTATGAGGAAGCGTGGCAGTATCAACACAATTTTTAAAGGCGGTAGCCGTTCAGATCCTGCAAACTATCGTCCAGTGACTCTCCTCCCTGTGCTCGCGAAGGTAATGGAAGCGGTCGTCGCTGAGGCTCTATTGGACCATCTGGTTAAATACAACATCTTGGCATGGGAGCAGCATGGCTTCCAGCAACACCGCTAATGCACCACCAACCTACTGATTGCACGAGGTAGTTGGACGGAAGTGGCTGATAATGGGGTCGGAATTGACGTCATCTATCTGGACTTCTCCAAAGCTTTCGACCGTCTGGATCACCGCATCCTACTTCAACGGCTACAGAGCTACGGAATCGGAGAGCCTCTATTTGTTTTGATTGGCAGCTACCTTCCTCAATGGCAGCTTCAAGTACGCGTTAGGGGATCACTCTCTATCCCGATTGAGAAGGAATGTGATGTTCCACAAGGCTCATTGCTGGGACCGCACTTATTTCTGATGTTTATCAACGACCTGGCAGGAGTTATCTCCTCACATTTCCTGCTTTTCGCTATGACGTCAAGATATTGCGGGTGATTAGTAACAATGAAGGTCATGATCTACTGCAACATGACCTAGATTGCATTTATGAATAATCAGCGAGGAACCTGCTTCAGTTAAACACACGTAAGTGCAAGGGGATACATCTGCGTCACCAGCCGGTGAGCGCTTACAAGATTGGAGACCACTTTTTGGCGAAGGTTTCTCAGGAGCGTGACCTGGGTGTATTGGTACAGGAAGATCTCGGGTGTTCAAAAAAAGAGAACGCGACGAGAACCGCAATCAAGATTTCGACCTTCTTCGCAGAGCATTCGGTCGGTTGGAACCCTCGATCTTTCCCCGAATGCTTAACGCCTACGTGCGACCGCACTTGGAATATGCTATTCAGACGTGGCAACCGTGGCAGAAACAGGATCTTGTTGCTCTCGAGACTCCTCAACGAAGGGCAACCAAGTACCTCTGCTCTATCAGCTTAGAATGAAATCTCTAAGAATGTACAGCAGTCGATATCGGCTTTTGCGGGGCATCTCATAATGGTTTACCAGATTCTGAAGAACCCAAATCACATTTGCCGTCCGCTGCTGGAATTGAACCACAACACTACAATAAGAGGTCACTCTCTGAAACTGACAATTCGGTATAGCCGCCTTGAATGCCGTAGAAGTTTATTTTCTCTCCGCGTGTGCCAGCCTTGGAACGTCTTCCCTAATTATGTCATCTCTGCTCCCAATCTGGCGATATTTAAAGGAAGTGTTGACGATGCATTATCTCACTTACATTTCATCTTATGACTTGTTAGCCAGAGGCTACAAAACGCAATCAAACGGTGTCTTGCCAAACGCCTAACTAATGGATTTATGGATTTACACGTTTAACACTCGAACATCTCCGCTAATCAACATAAGTCTATGGTAAGTCCACCAAAACGCTTTTCATTTTATCATTCAATTGATTTTCGCAATAATTTCCATCCCACGGGACTTGTTAAGCATTGCTTCTTTTGCCCGTAATAAACCATTGTTCCATTGATGCAAGCCTGGACACAGCACAACAGGGATTAACACTGAAGCATTCTAAAAATGCACTCACCTAACCAGGTCAGATTGATTAATTTATCCAGATGTTCTATTTTCTCAATGATATTGTTGTCCAGCTGCAGCTTTGTTAAATTGACAAATTCATCCAAGTTGCTGATCGTTAAAATATCTATAAAATATACAAGCATGAGTGTAACCAGTTTAGTCGTAATATTGCAGTTTTTCAATTGAATGCACCGTATTAAACTATTGGTTAGTTAGGGCAAAATGTGTCGAGAAATAAATGCAAATTATGACATTAATTTGGATCTCGTGCAACAAGGCATGCACCTGGTTTAGCGGAACCGTCTAGCTATTGTCGCAGTATGATCCACGTCTGGTGGGAACACCGCGTATGCAATCAGCGTGTTCCGCATCGCACATTTAGTGCAGGAATAACCAGTGAACCGATTAATAAGAGTATATCATGCACCAGGCTCCGATGGTTTGGTGACCTCTTGTGCGTGCTAGCACACCGATTCCCGCGTCGTGTGTTCTGTGCACCACAACGGTGTGGATGAAAGAAGAGGGGAGACCAAGCGATGACTTGCTCAATAGGAATGAAGTCCCTCTGTTCGAACTTAGTATCGGCTGGTGTCTCCCGATTACCTTGCTGGAATCATGAGGACGATGGACATATTTGGTCGGATATATTTGCTGACATGGTGAGGAAACGACTTTATTGGCGCTTGCGTTGTGAGTCTTTTGTCTCACCCTTTCCCGTTCAACAACGATCTCACGCTGCATGAATAATAACATAGAGTGCTTTGTTAGTTGCTTCTTACTTTTGTGTTCCGTAACGTTTAGTATCTCGCTGGGCATATATATTATCATTTGTAGTGCCGTACAGTTACCTGAAGTGTATTTCTCACCTCCAGCTAATGTGTGATGATGCTGATGATCCGCCGATGGAGGCTTGATCGTTCTACAATTCGTGACACTAGTCAAATGATTTCTTTAACGAGTTTTGAAAGTAACTCAGGTGTTCTTCTATGACCACCAGATTCCATATCTAAGTTAAAACACTGGATTTCCTACATTGTACAGTTGCTTGACTGCAAGGCTATCTAATGAGATAATCCGTAGCTGAGACTTCAACGTAGGTATATGCCAAACATGGATTTACCAGAGTACGTAGACTATGTATTGTACTCAGCTACTCTGATCCACTCCACATTTTGGATATCAGTGGTACATCAACTTTACCAAAAGCTTTCGATACACATCCACAGGGTTTTTACACCATATTATCCATCTTCCTGTTAATGACCCACAGAATAGCAGCGAAATATGCCTAATCGGGCCATTTTGAAGATTCACTCTGAGGCCAGTTTGATGTAATTTTCCTGCTTTTACCTACGATATATAATGATACAAGCTGATGCACTTACACAATTGACTGAGCTGCCGGGAAGATCTCTGCCCGCACAACACATTAAGCATGTAAACCTTCCAAGCCTATCCATTGACTATCATTTCCTCTTTATGTTATAGCAGTTGTTGTTGTTGTTGTTGTTGTGGCCGTTGATAACTACGTGTTGTGGCACTGCCGAATCTGTATTGGTCAGGTGTTGTATAAAATATAAAATACTAAAATTAGAGAGCTGGAAGACACATTGGAGTAGCTCCGTCGGTACAATATCGGGTACGCAAGCGGACTAAGGTTATTTTTTACCGAGTGCTGTCAAAGCAGATAGTCTGTGTGGCGTCTTATTAAAGCTGGATGCGGTCTTGTAATCCGTAAAGCAGGCTTCCTGGAATTTCTTGAATTCAAACGTCAGTTTTACCTGAAATAAAATATCGTCGTTTGCTCTATTCGGGCTCGTCACTGGTGCGTGCTCCCTCGGTTACCCTCAGGGAACCGAAATCATGACCGCTACCAGTCTTCTGCAACTAGCCAGCAGCTTATGTCACTAAGCCATAGTGTAGAGGGGCCGCTTCCAAGAATGCCTCGAGGAAGCGCTTCGGAGGTAGCTGAGAGCGGATCGAGAAGGATGGCTTGTAGCGAGCCTTGGCCCGGAACTACGGAGCGGGAATATGTGGACAGCGCAATAAATCAAACATATACGCCGCTAGCGCAGCCCACAGGACCGAGGCCGAGCCGATTGACACAGCCCAGAACAAGCAAGTTGAGAGCTCTCGAAGGAGTTCTGGCCGATCCAAATCGGGTACAGAGAAGTGGAGATCGAGACGAAAATAGGAAGGCGGGTCTTCCAAGTCAGAGCTCCCGAGGCGAAAGGAATGGCTCGTCTCTAACGTTGTGGGACGGAAATCTAGTCGATATTCGATGGCGAGCGTGAGACTCGGGTGTGCCCATTTTCGGTGTGCAATAAAGGTCCACCCCCCTGTCGTGTCATTTTCGCTACAATAGGAGAGCGATAAAATGTATTTGTATAAGAATTGATCCCTTCCACAAATTCAGTTTCTGGGCTATGTAACCCCTTTTACTACTACTGATCAAACGGTCCCTCATCGTCTGTAACTTGTGCAGGGTCGTGCTGGACGTGTGCAATACCAAAATCCTCCACTATTCAGTTTCTGAGCTTACATGCTAACGTAAAGGCGTAAGTGTTGACCCCTATCACGATCGATGAATTGGCCTTGGATTCCGGAGGCACTTGGCGGCAAGCTGCGCGTAATGGATTACATGCTACCTCTTTATGCCGCGCTTTATACTTACGGTCTTTCGGTGGCGGCCGGCTACCGCTTCTTTAGTATGTGTGTTAATCATGCATTGCTTTATTCCGAAGTGCCTCGAACTGAATAAATAACCAAGTGGAATGAATACCAATTCATTAACATTCACATATTATTGTAAAACGATAATGCCTTAAACAGGTAACATTGTCAGCAGATGCATCATGTTACGAGCATAATAATAGGCATCTACCATAACGATAGTTCATCACTGTTTTTGTTACAGAGCTTTTACTGAGCTAGCGAATGCTCCTAAACGCAGTTCACACTGGTGGGACAGGGGTTCAATTCGCTTGGTCTGCGAATAATGCCTACTGTGAACGTGCTAAGGATACCCTCGAAGGCTAACGGACACAGTGGCACATTGCAAGTTATCCACACACTTGTCCTCGATAAAACGCAAGTCCAATAGACGGTTACTGAACGGTGGTTTCTAATCAGGAAACGTATACATTTATTTTCTCTCCCGAACCTTAGGCTAGCAAGAACACGAAACCTATGCAGAGTGAGTCGGTGATTCCTTACATTGCTATGGCGCTGAAGTAGACAATACCTGCATTATAACATTTACTCTCTTACTAACTACAAAAGATCCTTTGTCCGTGAGTGTTTCATAACAGTCTGCCCAATAAGATTGGAAGAACCGATCGGGGCTGTATTACAGTCTATTGCATCTACAGCGCGTACTAACTACTGTCCCTACAAGTTTATCGCCATATATGAAGAGTGGATTGTTTGGAATAAAAAAGGATATCTAGTCCTCAAGAAAATGGCTTAAAATGAGCCAACTTACGATAGAAGATTTTGCTCCAGACTAGGTCAAGCCATTAAGAGGAGCTACTGTATACCTGTACTATCCTTGCTATACCGGACCAGGAAGCTGAGCCGTAAATCCACAATTGGACAGGCCTAACTGGCAGATTAACGTAACGTAGGTGAAAAGAACCGAAAGACGACCATTAACTAGGATCATGGGGCATGTTTTACGGATCTTAGCAGCCCTAAGCTTCCTGTCATCAAAACCGCCCAGCCTTTAGCAGATTGCACTTTGTTCGAAAACGCTAGTGACGCCTTTGTGGTTATCAACACACAGAATACTCCGAGAAACTCCGCTGTCCAGCAACTGAAGCCAAACCTCTGCAAAAGGATGGACTTTGTGGCCAGCCCTGTCTTACTCTGGTAAGGCGTAGGCCACGTCATTATACGCTATTAACTTGATTCTCTCAGTTCCCATTGATTCTTCCATAGATCCCTTTTCCTCTAGATTCTCTCGATCCTTCTACTCACGTTCTTTGTGTGACTGACTGGGAATGCGGGCGATAAACTTGATTCAGATTATCCCGCCCACAGGTTGTTCGTTCTCGCTATCTTAAGGATGGTTAGTGGGGGGAAATGTTAAAACGCATTCCGTAACGACAGCACGCCTGGTGTTCCTGTGACAATACTTTGTAACTTGAAGTTGAGAGGGCCAAGCACATGATAGGATCAATCCAGAAACGGCATTCAGGGTTGAATGTGTCGCATTGTAACTGTCAAAAGGTAAAGCAGCATAGTCCATGTAATTCAGATCGGTAAGTTTGTCGATTTTCACTTTGGGAAATTCCGCGTCAGTTGTTGGCGGGAAAGTCTCCAATCATTCACCCTCGATCCCGACTCAACCTGTGATTTTTGAGAACAGGGCACGAATTATATTCACCTACTTGATGGAAACTAATTAGAACAGGTGAATCAAAAATTGGGAGTCGACCAAATGTGTCGAACATTTTGCTGACATAACAAAACAAATGTCGTCAGTGTAGAGTAAGTGTGAAGCTGTTCTAGCATCGGCTGCACAGTCCCGTCAAGTGTGGAAATCTGGCTGATCTTCCCTCAACCATAATTTGCGTCTCGCCTTAGGACGATGAAAGAGCAATGAGTCCTGTAGCCTTGTCACTACTGGAGTCAGGCCGATAGACATGTGGCTAGCATATTTTGCGTGGTCACCTTTCTCGTATATCGCCCTTATGATTGATTTACAGGCATTGGCTGAGATTCTCTCTTTCTTACGCTTCTGTTCCAGCGATTAAGTCGGTGCGTTGCATGGCACCACACCTATATCTTCCTACGGTCCATTTCCAAGGAATCTGGACTTATACTGCGAATATGATTCTAGTTTGCGATCGCGTTACTGACTCCAGCCTTCGAGAAAGCCTCTAACTAGCTATGCTGAGTAGAATGAGGCCTATGAGCATGGATCCAACCGAACTGCTCTTGAGAGTGCTTTGCACAACGAGCCAGACATCATTCGTTAAGGCAACTGGCTGCCGCCACAGCTTTCTGTTGCTTTACTGACACATAATATCCTGGGATCAATGGTGAGAGTAAGCCGGACAAATCTACATTAATCACCAACCGATCCAATCTCTTATATTTCCTGAACTGTTTTGGTCAGACAGGTTACCTTGTCTGCACACAACATATATCCTTATGTGATTTTAACGCGCCGTCTAGGTGCACTGTACTAAAAGCCAGTAGAGCATCTTCTTCTAGGTACCGATAAGTTCACATAATTCTGGGATATACAGTGACTAGTGAGATGACAACCAATTTTGCCGTAAGTTGGGACACTAGTTTTTTATATGACAGCCTCGATCCTCTTCTGCTGAGATTAAGTATTTTTGGAGGAATTAGATGAAATCCTGGTATGCATGTCATCCTAACAATTTGTTTGACTGATGGCCTAGATTAAGTCTGTCGCTAGTGAAGAAAACGTTCGATATGCTTGCCGGCTATGTTCTTCTTTGTTCAGCATTGAACCATGATATGATAAGGTTATGCGCAGGTGTTCCAGAAACAGCGACAGTCCAGGATTGAATCGCGACGTCCTAGACTTGTAATGATGTGGCCTAGTTGTATACATAGATGGTCAGATATCAGAGGCTGAGAAGCGTTAGCTCAGCGCCAAGTGTGTCTGAAGCTGGTGCTAGCAAGAAACGTCTGGTGTATAGCACACTTTCACAATAAACGTCTATCATCATTTGTGGGTTCAGTGGCAAACTCGAATTGACCACCAAGCTAAGATTCAGTGGAACTCAGACATCGTGTGCGCGTATCCCTTGCAGTTTAAAAGATATCTGAAGTAGTGGTATCGTGAAACCTACATGTTTACTACGTCGTAATAGGCGTCCCTAGGAGATTTAGGGCTGCGGTCGGTGAGGCTGGGGATGCAGGAAGCATAAACAAACAGATACCAACGCTGCTTTGCGCACTGAGCTTGAATGAACTTGTCAAATGTACTTCACGTAAACGTCTGCGCACTGAAATCCGAGAATCACGCGATTAGTCTGCCTTGGAGCTGAGAATGATGCCCACCAGCGCTTGACCTGCCGTTGCTGCATCAACATCACTTGATACGTGCAAGTGATATCGAGAGATCAGGTTGAGCATAGTTAGCTTAACAACATCATCCGGGTCACTGATTCTAGTTTCGAGACGCAACAGACCTCAACACTCAACTTGTTTCCCGTGTATGTGTCACGAAGTGGCTGCCTATAACACAAGTCTAGAGAGCGCTACGAGAATGCCGTGGGTAGTAGAACTCCAGTGTACTGCAAATACCGTCCGTTAAGACTGCGATTGCAGCAGGCTGGTTAGCGATGTACGCAAGGAAAATGAATGGAGGCCCCCAGCAACAGTATAACTTCAATTGTGTACCCTGATATATGAAACATACAAGGGGAAACCTCAAAGCATTGTGGCGGCCGATGCAGGATGTGATTCGAACTTATTAGTAACTTGCATTATTCGTGGTGGTATACGAGCTAGGATAGTCATATTGTCTGAACCTAGACAGGAGAATGAGTAAATAATGCAAGGATTTCAAATGGTTCAAAAGCCACACTGCAAGACAGCAGGAAATAGAAATAATCCCGTCTTACCGAAATGAATGCCACTGCGGTTTCAACCCCCAAGCTGTAAGGCCAGGTGACTGTGATCATCGGAATTCGATCAGCTAGCGATCCTGGTAGGAGTAAGTCTCAAAGACCCATGGGTACTACTTAGCTTATCACAGCTGGTCGAATAGGCTAGAAAAACCTTGCACCACATTACGGTCCTAGTTATCAAAATTGAAAATATCACACAGGAATGGAAGAGCGAATTCCACTAGGTTTGATATAATACTAAGAGGTCATCATTTGGTTAAGCAAAATCTGGAACGTAGTGACTGCACAAGGAGAAAAAGACTATCGGTGACAAATCGGCATTAAGAGGACGAAGACTGGCAAATACACACATTTCGTATTGTCTCATTAGTGCGTTTAACAATAACTCGCAATAATATTTATTCAGTGAAGGGTGCGACCCAACAGACATGCAAACAAACAAACAGACCAACACAGGATAAGCGGGAGAGAGAGTTATCACCCTTATCCCAGGACAGTCTAATGATGACCGATAATTGTTTCCGCATACAAAGCAGCAGCTTAATCCGGTTAAATGCAATGGCCTCTGCGAAACGGAGGAGGCGAGAATTGGTGTGCTGTAATAGGACTGTGAACTCCAAAGTGACCTCGACTCGGTGACCTGTGGTCAATAAGTGTCGGCCGATTGAAGTGGGTGGTGGTTATGCAGTTGTTTAACAACACGCTCATTGAAAACGGCTACCCCCGAAGGTTTCTCAAGAAACATAGTCAGGTACGACAAAAGAACCTAGTGTACATGGTACCCAAGAAGCCTGTAATCATTGGACTGCCATTCAAAGGTGACGTCTCCTCGTTGAGTACCACAGGGCATCTGATCTGTGCCGTGCAGACAACCCACTATGCCGCCAAGATCGTTGTCATTAACAAAACCCAAAAACTGACACTTCCTTCTGTAAATTAGGCTCAGCTTATCGGGGCCAAATCGCCTTGCGTTTACCAATTCATTTTGACTAAGGCGCCATGTACATAGACAGGACCGATAGAACATGCAGTTCCCGAATTAAGGAGCATGTACCTAAGTGGGTCCAACATTCGACCGCTCAAGAAAACTAGCCAGAGTCATGCTGCTTGTCTGCGTGAGCCAACATCCTCTTCCATCGGCCGACACTTATTGACCACAGGTCAGCGAGTCGAGGCCACTTCGGCGTTCACAATCCTAGTACAGCACACCAATTCTCGCCTCCTCCTTTCCGCAGAGGCCATTGCAATTAACCGGATTAAGCTGCTGCTTTGTCTTCAGAAACAATTATCGGTCATCATTAGACTGTCCTGGGATAAGGGTGATAACTCTCTCTCCCGCTTATCGTGTGTTGGTCTGTTTGTTTGTTTGCATGTCTGTTGGGTCGCACCCTTCACTGAATAAATATTATTGTGCCTTATTGTTAAAGGCATTAATGAGACAATACGAAATGTGTGCATTTGCCAGTCTTCGTCTTCTTACTTCGCATTTCAAATTTCTAAAGGAACTTACTGTTTCAAATCGACATTAGCCTAAATACTTCGCTGATTATCCAGTGATGTGTGTGCTGTCAGATGAACATTTGTATCTGCGAACGTACTTTGAAAATTCAGACTTAATTCCTGCACGGTATTGTACTCGATTCCTTCCGTTCGTGCAATCACTCCGGCTTCGCCCTTTGGTCCCTGCGCGTAGACTGCTGCTCGAAGGAGAACCTGAGTTATAATGCTTGGTTCCTTTGTTCCCCATAGTCGTTGGACACCTAGAATGCGTAGTGGCATGATTTAATGTCTAGGGTGCAGCCAAATTTGAAAATAAATTGAGAAGACATGCTTTGATTCAGCACCGTCATTAAGAACTACAGTTCAGCCACAACTATTGTAGTAGACACCTAAGCGATACGAAATAAGAAGCAGTGAGTGCATAGTGCAAATACCAGAAGTCTTGTTCCAAGCTCCGCTAAAATATGAATGGTTATCGAATAAACTTCTGTCGGTTATCAGAAACTGTAATAACTATTTGCAGTTCAGACGGATGATCAATATTCACTTGTCTGTTTCAAATATCTTGTCAACGCTAGCCAAAAGATGACTCTAGATGAATTGTATGAAAAAGTCGTAGATGCCGGTGAACGTTGTCATATCTCCTCATTATATCAATAATATAATTTTTTCTAAGCATGGATGAATTCCTTGGTATGTATTTAACAACGATCATATTCATACAAATTGTGTGGTCTAAATCAACAGTGCGGTCGCAAAAAAGCTGTCCTCCTGCGTTATTCGCCTCCAAATCTTTGGATTTATTCTCACAGTGACCTACGTGCCATCATTCGATTTGGCTCCGCGAGCTCCTCCTACCACTGTTCATCTATTGGATCTATCATTCACGGATCACCAACAAACTGTGCTCTTGGAAATTCGAAGTCAACCGTATTTGAAGCTTATCGGATGTTTTATTTCTCCTCTCATCACATAAGAACTCTTGTGGTCTTAATTTAAAGATCTTTTTGAGAGTCACCCGATCAGCTTACTACCATTCCTTCAAGTCGCTCTACAAAGCGATAGTCGTCAATTTGATCCGTCCTTGGAACTGCCACTGTCGTCATTAGACAGTATTTTCCAAATCACCTTGCTTTGCCTCAGTCCTACGTCCACCACGGCCTACCCTCTACCGTCTGGATCGATAGCACGCACATCCACCCCAAAGAACGCGTGATTCATCTGGCCTCAACACGCCTGGACCTGCTGACCTCGAACCAGCGCCGATCGCCACGCAAAGGTGCGTCAGTATCTCCATCCCATCCCTACCCCTACTGAGAACATGTCTCGTATGAAGAGCAAATGCGAATCATGTGCCAAAGTCGTAAAAAGTGGTCTGGTTTGTTCTTTGTGTTTGAAAACATACCACACTACCTGCCTTGGGAAGGCGTTCACGAAAGCCAACACCGCAGACGCGTTTTGGTTCTGCCAAGTATGCGAGTCTATTCCATTTGTTAGCTGTCTATCTGTGCTACTGAAGAGGTGTGAAAGACTAACCGAAGCAGTCGAGCAACTGGTGAGCGCCAGAGTTACACCCTTGGGAGGAAACGGACCTGCACTTGTGAGTGAAAATAACACCCCGAACTCACTAGTCAGGCCGAAGAAGCGAGCCAGGCGTCCCAACCCAACCCCAACGACTCAGCCTCCAGCAGTATCAACTCCATTCTCCCTCCCTCTTATAAGTAAAAACAGTGACTGCAGTGCACCTGCCTCGACTTCTGTACTGTGTGCTGCACCTAGTAGTCTGTTCACTACACTCGAGACTGTAAGCTACAGTCAACCAGCCATAGTGAACAACCCGGCAACGTACGCATCGGTTGCTGCCAAGCAAACACCGGAAAGAGCACCGGTAACCTTTGTGCCCGAACTAGAGAAAACAAAACTGACGCAGCACGGATGGCACACACCAAGGCCGTTCACAAATTCAACAAAAACACCAGAAACTAAGCCTCGAAATCCAAAACCAGTAGCCACCAGGCGCAACCATGGTGTCCTAAATATTGTATGCACTAATGTCCCCGAATCCAAATCCAATACAATTAAGGGTAAGTTGACGGACGATCGAAATCAGTGGGTTTCCATCTGTACGTCGATCGGAGTCCATGCTAATCCCACGACATTAAAAAGAATCTCGCGCCACCCAAACGCGTTGCACTACGGCGAACCCCTGTTACTTCGAGTAACACTAAACTCGGCGGACGAGACTGAGGCCGTTCTGCTGTCCGCGAATCGTCTGCGCAACGACTCAAGTGGAGTGCGCATACTACCCGAAATCCCGTGGAAAGAACGTTCAGGGGATCCCGCCAACAAAGATAGGTACAGAATAAGTCAAGATAAGAAAACAGTGATTGCTCACGGTGTTCCTGAGCTTACTGACTCCTCTTCCGACGATGCTCAGATGCATGACCGCGAGCAATGGCACTACATCCGGGCGGTTCTTTCTCTCGAAAATGTGGTGGTCACCTCGTTGACAAGGATCCCCATATCACCAAACTATAAAGGATGCGGTCCCAGGCTCTTAAAACTTGTGTTACAGTCGGAACAAATGGCACAAACCCTACTAGCGAACTGGATCAAATTCCGTTGCAGATTGCCAACGGAAATTCGTCTGAAAGCAGCAAGAACACCAACACCTTTTAATGACAATTCAGTAGAGGCACAACTCTTAATGAAAACGCCAGCTGCAGGACCCGACTCGGGGACGGTTTCAAGAGTAGCCATACTATCCGGAGGGGCCCAGCAGAGCACGAGCAAACACCAGGATTCGGAGCATCTGATACCTGCTTATATATCAAATACTTCTCTAGAGTATGCAACCCATCCAAAAAACGATTAGTCGCCGACCCTTTAATGGTCGGCGTAACCTCATTTGCTTCATCCACCCCTCCAGTCGCCGGCCACTCACTGGTCGGCGAAACTTCACGTATGAGTTGTACAACTTCTGAAACATTGATTAAATCTGAGAAACTTTCATGTATGTACACCAACGCCCAAGGGCTCCTCAGTAAAATTAACGAACTTCGACTGCGTCAGGTTGCGAATGCTTGGGACCTAATTTCTATTACCGAAACTTGGTTGCAGCAAGAGGTGACTGATGCTGAGGTTGAGATAGCCGGAATGTCAATCATCCGGAACGACCGCCCCAGCAGAGGAGGTGGGGTCCTACTCTACTACCGCAGCGATCTACAATGTACAATAGTTGAGGACCTGGAAACACACGTTACCGACTCACTCTGGTGCCGTCTCCGACTGAGACACAACGATACATGTCTCATAGCTATCGTTTACCGCCCCCCAACGTCCACTCTGGAAATGGATTCCTGCTTGATCCGTGGCCTAAACAGAGTAACACGCACTAGGTACAGCCACACTCTCATCTCCGGGGACTTCAATCTACACAATCTGGAGGTTTCGGCATCGCCCAGTGAGCAGTTCAAAGCAGACTTGCAGGAACTGATCGCTAATATTCCTTTGTACAATCATGTCACCACGCCCACTAGATTCAGGACAGCAAACAAACCGTCCATATTGGACCTTGTGCTCACAAATGAAGAGCTCATGATTGAGAAGTTATTGATGGATAGTCCATTAGGTCTCAGTGACCACGTAGTAATAACTTTTGACTATGTGTGTTATGCAGAGTATCCATATGAACACTCGGAACTAACTCATACAATCACACGCTACCACGTATTGAAAGAACTCGCCGACGCAGCTTCCTGGGAATTCTCAAACAAAAGTCCCCTTGACAACGTTTGGGCAGAGTTCGTTAATAAGCTCAGCGACATCGTCAACAAAGCATCAGAGACCAAACCCCTTCGTCCCGCGAAAATGCCTTCAATTATAAGGAGTAGGACTCGCAAATGCCTGGCGATAAGGGATGCAGCATGGCGTGCCTACAAGATTAACCCAGACTCAGAGACTTGGGGAAATTTCCTGACCCATCGCAACCATTGCACCGCACTTGTCCGTGAGGACAAAATAACGTATCAACAGTGTCTAGCCAAAAAGTTCATGGCAAACAACAAACTGCTGTATAAGCATGTCAATAAGCTTCGTAAAGTGAAGCATGGAATACCCCCACTATTCACGACAGGCGGTAGAGTACAAAGCGCCGAAGAAGCAGCTAATGCACTGCGGCTGCAATACGCACCAATTTTTGAACTCGCAACATCTACCTGTCCCATAATATCAAGCTCATTACCGACACCTCTGTTTACAAATGTTATTTTCAACCCATCAATTGTGCTAAGGAAGTTACTCTCACTGCGCGAACATAGTTCTCCGGGAGCAGACAACATCCGCCCGAAGGCACTGAAGGCTGTGGCTAATAAGCTAGCTGAACCACTGTCACAGTTCTTTCAAAGGTGCTTTGATGAACAACGAGTCCCCATTATGTGGAAGTGTGGCATTATAACCCCTATTTTTAAAGGCGGTAGCCGTTCCGATCCTGCAAACTATCGTCCAGTGACTCTCCTCCCTGTGCTCGCGAAGGTGATGGAAGCAGTCGTCGCTGAGGCTTTGATGGACTATCCGGAAAAATGCAACATCTTGGTAGTGGAACAGCATGGCTTCCGTCAACACCGGTCATGCACCACCAACCTACTTATTGCTCGAGGTAGTTGGACGGAAGTGGCCGATGATGGGGTCGGAGTCGACGTCATCTATCTGGACTTTTCCAAAGCTTTCGACCGCCTCGATCACCGCATCCTACTTCAACGGCTTCAGAGTTACGGAATCGGAGATCCTGTACTTGGTTGGATTGGCAACTTCCTTTACCAACGAAAGCTCCAAGTACGTGTTAGGGGATCACTTTCTAACCCAATTGAGGTGGAATGTGGTGTCCCGCAAGGCTCAGTGCTGGGACCGCGCTTATTCCTGGTGTTTATCAACGACCTGGCAAGAGTCATCTCCTCAAACTTCCTGCTTTTCGCCGATGACGTCAAGATATGGCGGGCGATTAGTAACAAGGCAGAGCACGATCTGCTCCAACATGACCTAGATTGCATTTATGAATGGTCAAAGAGTAACAAGCTTCAATTGAACATGGCTAAGTGCAAAGTGATGCATCTGCGTCACCAGCTGGTGAGCGCCTACAAGATTGGAGACCACACCTTGGCAAAGGTTTCTCATGAGCGTGACCTGGGTGTATTGGTACAGGAAGATCTCGGGTGTTCCAAACAAGCAGAGAAGGCGACGAGAACCGGAAATCAACTCTTCG